CCCCGTTTGCTCCTCTCTTGCAGTTCATTTTTTAATCTCCTACTGCTGGTGCCACAAGTGTTGATTGTGGAACCAACCAAGCTAAAATTGTTAACAGTCTCTTCTCCATCTATCATAGTGCTGCCAATTGGCCCAGTGGTGAGAATCTTTGTCTTCTTGATATTAAGCTTTAGTCCATATTGAAGACTACAGTCTTTGACTTTCTACAGCAAATGCTTCAGGTCCTCCTCAGTTTCAGCAAGCAAGGTTGTGTCATCTGCATATCAAAGGTTGTTGTTGAGTGATGTTCTTTATTTTATTAACCAGTCTGTTATTTAGCTAAAAGGTGATCTTAAGATAATTTTGGCTTAAGGTTTAAAGAATGATAGTCTCACCAAGTCCTCCTCTGATTTCAGTCAGTTTTGTAAGTCTGGACTTTTCAAGAGTTGAGTTCTTTTCAACATTTGTCTCTTACTCTGTCAGAATACATCTCTTGTGGCCCTAATCAGAAAGATTAGTAGTGACAGCCAGGGAACATCACTTCTTCTTACTCCATTGGGTTGTAGAACATACACTTTTTGAACTATGCCAGTTAAATGGGTTATCTTATGAGACTATGGTTCTGAGACTTCAAACAGAAAACCAACCTTATGAGATGTGGTTATGTCTGAAACATTTCTTTAACTTTGTTCCTTCTGTGGCTTACTATATATATATGGCATGCATATGGGAATATGTGCATATACATACATACCTTTATAAACCTGTGCCTGTAGGTAAATTTCTGTGCATGCATGTTCATGCTCATACACATGTATGCTTGTATATGTACTTGTGTACACATGCATTTTCTGGCTGTTGGTGGTAGTAGAGAATTTTATTTATCATATCCTTTACCAAAAGTTTCATTTTCTCTTGTGCGTTTCTTAATGACCTCATTTATCTTGGTTAAGCTGTGTTGTTTCACCCATGTTTGATGCTACCTTTCCCATTGCCAAAAATAAAAAAAAGTAGCTATGTCTTTGGTTCCCTCCCATCTATCGTAGCTGTTAATGAGTGTTGGTCTCTGTATATCTGTACCTGCCTATGTGGTTGTCTTATAAAAGTGTGATCATACCATATTTGTCCTTTTATTTCCCCCCTCCCCCATATTTGTCCTTTTATGAATTAATTTTACTCAGCTTAATGTCCTCCAGATTCTGCTACATTTTAAGATATTTCAGAGATTTCATCATTCTTTCTGTACATAATGTGTGTACCAAATTTTATTCTTCTGTAGATTGATTGGCACTGAGGTTGTATGTATCTTTTTGCTGCTTTTTAATGCTTCAGTGACTATAGGTGTGTATATGTCTTTTCCTGTCTCTTATTAGATTTCTAGGGGATATACATTGGAGGTAAGAATGGTGAGACCTCATCTTAAATATTGTGAACATGTTATCAGGAGGGACCAGTCCCTGGAGAGGGGCTTCAGACTTGACAGAAGGGCTGAAAAAAAGAGGCAGCCTCTCAATGAGATGACTTGACACGGTGGCCACAGCACCAGTGATGATAAGGATGACACAGGCCCAGGCAGTGTTTCATCATGTTGGACATGTATCTGTATGAGTTACAGGTTACAGGACAGCATTTAATAACAGGGTATACACTAGCAGGATCATAAGATATTTCTGTTTCAGACCTTTTGAAGAGATACTTTCTCATTTTCCATAGTGGTTGTACCATTTTATAGTCTATAAGGGTTCCAGCATCTTCTCCTGATTTTGTTGTTTTATGGTTTTGTTATTTTTTTTTTTTAAACACTGCTATCCTTCAAGGATGAGATGATATCTGATGGTAGTTCTGATTTGCATCTCTCTTGTGGCTAATTAATACTTATGAAAGAAGATCAAAGTCCATAGTCTTCAATATGGATTACACTTTAAGAAAAAATGCTCACTGCAATCCCAGAGGTACGTGGTTCAAATCCACCAGCTGCTCTACTGGAGAAGGAGGGGGCAATCTCCTCCTGTACCAGTCAGATCTGATTTGATGGTACACGTAAAAATAATACAATAAAAATAAAAAAAAAGAAAAAATGCTCACAACTTAAGTAACTAGGCAGCATCATGATAAATTGAGAAATGATTAAAGTTGCCAGTGATTTAATTTTACTTAGGTCCACCATGAACACCATTGGTAGCAGTAGTTAAGAAATCAAAAGATATGTTTTAATGGACAAGTCAGTTGTCCGGGCTTCAAAGCAATAAATGACAAGAATGTCATTTTAAAGACTGATCCAAGCCATGGTACTTTGAGTCGCTTCATAGAAATTTGGAAGTTGGACAGAGAATAAGAATGACCACAGAAGTTCAAGGCTGATTAATTTTATAAAACAGATGAATGGGAATGATTGTATGAAGCACAATGTGACTGAAGGGTAGATACTGTGAAACATGATGTATATGAACTTTGTAAGCACACCAATAAAAAATTTTTAAAAAATGACCAAAGAAGAATTGATGGCTTTTAACTGTAGTGTTGATTAAGAGTATTAAATAGGTCATGGACTGCCAAAAGAACAGACCTGTCTGTCTTGGAGGAAATGCAAACCAAGGATGCTTCTTTAGAGGCAAGGATAAAATGTCATCTTCTCTACTGTGGGCATGTTGTCAGGGATGCCAGTTCTTGGAAAAAGACATCATGCTGGGAAAAGTAGAGGAAAAGGGAAAAGACAGGGAGACCGTCAGTGAGATGGACTGACTTAGTGACTGCACAGTAGGTTTGAGCATGGTGGAACTTGTGGGGATGGTGCAGGAGAGGACAAGGTTTCAGTCTGCTGTTTGTAGGTTTGCTCTGTGTTGTAATTGACATAGTGACACCTAACAATAGCAGCTTAACTGGTGATCACAGGCCTCTTTTCATGTTTTTGTTTTGGAAGTTTAAATAGTCTTTTAAGTAGAGTGCCTGTTCATGCTCTTTGTCCCTGTTTTAACTGGATTATTTGTCTTTGTAGTTGAGTTGTTTCAAGGTTTCTGTGTATGTTATAGATTAGACCCTCATCGGATATACTGTTGCCCAAAATTTTCCCCTCAGTTTTTTAAAAACTAATCTCATTGCCATTGAGTCAGAAGCGACTCATAGCTTACTCTCCAGTGGGTTTTTGGAGACTGTAAAATACATGGGAGGAAACTGCCTATATTTCTTCCAAGAAGCCACTGGTGGATTTGAACCAGCAGAGAGGCACCACCTATAGGTTGATAGTCTAGCTCCCAGGACTGTGCTACCAGAGCTCCTTTACCTATTGTAGGTTGTCCTAACTTTGAGGAAACTGTTGTTCTTGGGACTCATAGTGACTCTATGCACATTAGCTCTGAAACCTGCCCTATACTGAGCCAATCTCATCATCTCACACAGACCTAATCCAGTCACTGAGTCAATCCATCTCATCCTGGGTCTTCCTCTCATGCACTGTCCCTCCACCCTTCCAAGCATGATGTCCCTCTCCTAGGACTGGGCCTTTCTGCCCACATGCCCAAAGTATGTGAGATGGAGCCTCAAAATCCTTGCCTCTAGGGAGCGGACGCATTTCCCCCTCTCCAGGGCAGAGACCTGGAAGTCCATGGTATGTTCAACACTGTTCTCCAGCACCACAACTCAAAGGCATCGATCCTTTTTCTAACACTCTTAGTTATTGTCCAGCTCTCTGGTGAATATTAAGTATTTGTAAAGACCATGACCTGCATCAGGCACACCTTAGTCTCCAAACTGACATCATTGCTCTTCAGTACTCTAGAGAGGTCCCTGACAACAGACTTTCCTAGTGCAATTCATCTTTTGATTTCCAGACTGCTGATACCAAGAGTTTTGATTGTGGAACCAAGCAAGCTGATGTTATCAAACAATCTCAATCTTCTCTGTCCATCATGAAACTGTCAGTTGACCCAGTAGTAAGAATATTTGTATTCTTGATGTTAAGCTTCAATCCATATTGGAAGATTACAGTCCTTAACCTTCTTTCTGCAAACCTCTCATGTCATTTTCCGTTTTAGCAAGCAAGCTGTGTTAACTGCATAACACAGGTTGTTGATGAATCTTCCTCCAATCCTAATACCATATTTATTCCTCCTCATAAAGTCCAATCTCCTGAATGATCTGTTCTTTACATAGCCAGTGAAACACAGATAGACATTCTTCTGGTACTCTCTGCTTTCAGCCAACATCCATTTAATGTTGACCATGATGTCCCTAGTGCCACAACATCTTCTAAACCCAGCTTGCACACCTTCAGTTCTCTGTTGATGTACTGTTTGAGTAGTTTCTGGATAATCTTCAGTAGGATCTTGCTCATGTGTGATTTTAGTAGTATTGTTCAATATTTTCTACACTCTTTTGGGTCACCTTTTTTTGGAATAAATATGGATCTCTTCCAGTCAGTTGGCCAGGTAGTTATCCTCCAGATTTCTTGGAATAACCTGGTGAGATTGTGTCCAGGGCAGCATCTGTTTGCTGAAATATGTCAGTTGGTAGTCCATAAATTCCTGGGGCCTTGTTTTTTGCCAATTCCTTCAGAGCAACTTGAACTTCCGCCTTCATCACTATAGACTGCTTCATGAAATTCTTCAGCCAATTCCTCGTGACTCTTTGTACTCCTTCTAACTTTTTTTTCCCCTTTCTAACTTTTTTGATGCTTCCTGGCTCATTCAGCATTCTGCTTTCAGCATCCTTTCAACTTGAGGTTTGACTTTTTTTTCTTTAGTTACTTCAGTTTAAGAAATGCCAAGCAAGTTCATCCACTTGATTTTCCGACTCCAGCTCCTTGCATATTTCATTATTATACTTTGCTTTGTCTTCTTGTGCTGCCTTTTGAAACTCCCTACCAGCTAGGCTACCAGGACTCCTTGGTGAGCCTAAGTATTACTTTTTAGAAGATTGTTATATGATTTTTCTTCTTTTGTTCCTGCATTTGTAGTTTTATTTGAAATTTTTTTTTAAAATTGCTTTCTCTGCTATCTTTCAGGAACTTCATAGTTTTAGGTTTTTGATGTATTTTCAGTTAATTTTTGTGTATGGCATTAAAGTTTTCTTTTCCTGCAAATGGATGTATCCATTTTCTTTTTTTTTTTCCCTAGCACCGTTTGTCAGTGAGATTGTTTCTTCCCCATTAAATGGACTTTGAGCTCTACTGAAAATCAGTTGCCCATGGATGAACTTCTTTCTAGGTCTTTAGTTTTTTTATTGGTCTTTGTGTCATTAAACTATGTGGCTATTATTATTGTGGCTGTATAGTATGTTTTGAAATTGAGAAGTGTCTGTAAGTTGCAATATTTTTGTTGGCATTTTGACAGTGTTAAGGTGAGACTTTAAAAAACTTTATCAAATATTTTATTTTGTCCAGTAGATGCTGATTTGAGAGTGTCCTGTCATAGGTTTAGGGAGCTCTGCTGTAATGTGTGGTGAGCTGCGTTGCTAACTCAGAGACCTAACATCCCCATGAGAGAAAGATGAGCAGTCAGTCTCCTCCTGTTAAGGTTTATGACCTCAGAAACCCAAGAAGGGTCATGAGGAGTCAAAACTAACTATGTGACAGTCAACTTTTTAGTTTATCATCAATTTAGAGAAATCCATTAATGATAACACACCTTGTATAACTTGTCCCTTAGGTGCTTCATTTGTGGTATAAAGTGAATTACTCTAAATGCTTTACTTTCTAGTGTATGGCTCTAGGAATGTCATACAGTATATTAAAAAAAAAAATCTAGAGAGCTGGCTTGATGAGAGTCCCCCAGACTCCTTTGAAAAAGTATGTACATAATCCTTTTTTTTTTTTTTTTAATTTTCTACTAGTTTATTTACAAAATTCAAATGCAAATTTGAGCAAATTCTTTCAGCTTCCTTCATACCCCTGTATCAAATTGTACAAGCCAATATTAATCCCCTTCTCCCCCTGCACATCCACATCCCTCTGCTTCTAGCCTCTCCCACTCCTCTTGGATCCTTATACTCATTCTACAGTAATGGTTTTATACAATGTTTATCCTTGTGGGACTGAGTTCACTCAGCATAATGCTCTCCAGTCCCTCCCAAGTTAGGTAATAATTTACAAAATCATTGCTCCCGCGTGCTGCATAGAATTCCGTTGTGTGAATGTACCTTAATTTCTCAATCCATTATTTGTGGTTGGACATTTGGGCTATTTTCATGTTCTTGTGATGGTGAATAATGCTGTAATGAACATTGGTGTATAAATCTCAGTTTATGCCTCAGTTCTCATATTCTCAGGATATATTCCAAGTAGTGGAATAGCTAGGTCATGGAATTTCTATGTTCAGCTTTTTGAGGAAACAACAAACTGCCTTCCAGAATGGTTGAACCATTTTATATTTTATAATCCCATCAACAATGTTCCTTTCTTGCCACATCCTCTCCGACATTTATTACTTGCTGCCCTGTTAAACTTTGCCTCTGTTACTGGAGTGAGATGGTGCCTCATTGTGGTTTTGATTTGCATCTCTCTTATTGCCAGTAATTTGGAGCATTTCTTTCTTTTTTTTTAAAATAATTTTAATGAACATTTACAGAGAATTTGGATTTCCATTCATTCATTGCTGCACTTCTCTACCCGCCCAGCCCTCTCCCCCCGGTCCCCACTTTGCTCCTCTCTTTCACAAGTAAAAGAAAGACTCCCTCCCTGGTACACAGTCCCCCCGCATCCCTCCCACTGCCCCAAGTACATTCCACTATGCAACCTTAATTGTGTACTCTTGTGATAACCATAATACCCTATCATACAACAATAACAACAACATCGCTTTAAAATTATTCAGTCCCCCATCTGTTTCAGTGCAGTATACACAATTTATGCAGTTTTTCTCAGTCTTACCTCCCACCCTGATATCAGTCCCATTTTACAGCAGTGGCACCATGCAATATTTGTCCTTTTGCGACTGAGATATTTCACTCAGCATAATGTCCTCCAGGGTCACCCATTTTTAATAATATTGAATGAGTTCCTTGTTTTTCAATGCAGCATAGTATTCCATTGTGTGAATATACCACAGCTTGTCTATCCATTTGTTTGTTGATGGGCACCTGGGTTGTTTCCAACTCCTTGCTATTGTGAACAGAGCTGCGATAAACATGGGTGTGCATATATCTGCTTGGATGTCAGTTATGGTCTCTTTGGGATATATTCCCAGTAGTGGAATTGCTGGGTCAAATGGTATCTCTATTTGCAACTTTTTGAGAAAGCGCCATACTGCCTTCCACAGTGGTTGCACCATTTTACATTCCCACCAAAAGTGAATAGGGTTCCAGTTTCTAATTTGGAGCATTTCTTTATGTGTCTGTTTGCCATTTGAATATCTTCCTCTGAAAATTTTTTCCATGCCAACCACAAATTGAGATACTTGGGAGTGAACCTAGCTCGAGATACAAAAGACCTATACAAAGAAAACTACAGAGCATTTCTGCAAGACACAATAAAAGACCTAAAGAAATAAAAAATGTGCCCTGTTCATGGATAGGAAGACTCAATATGGTGAAAATGATAGTCCTACTAAAATGTTCAATGCATTCCCAATCCAGATACCAAATTCTTTTTTCAAGTAGAAAGAAAGGGAAATTATCAAATTTATTTGGAGAGGCAAGAGACCCCGAATAAGCAAAACACTTCTAAGATACAAAAATGAGGTTGGAGACATAGCACTCCCTGACCTCAAAACCTACTACACAGCAGTAGTGACCAAAACAGCTTGGTATTGGTTACAATGACAGGCACATAGACCAATGGAACAGAATTGAGAATCCAGAAACAGACCCAGCTGTTTATGGTCAACTGATACTCAACAAGGAAATCAAAGGGGAAATGATAACCTCTTCAACAAATGGTGCTGGCAAAACTGGACTTTAACATGCAGAAAGCTGAAACAGGATCCACCTCTCACACCATACACAAAAATCAACTGAAGGTGGATCAGAGACCTGGGATTAAAGCCCCAAACCCTAACATTCATAAGAGACAAACTGGGATCAAGCTAGAAGTGCTAGTCCAGGGTATAAAGAGACTGCCAAATACAACCAGCAATGCACCATCTAAAGAGGATAAAATTGATGCATGGGACCTTCTAAAGATTAAATCCCTGTGCACATCAAAAACTTTCTCCAATAGTGTGAAAAGAAAACCTACAGACTGGGAACAAATATTTGGTAATGCTATCTCAGACAAGAGTCTTATAACAAAAGTTTACAGACTAAATCCCTGTGCACATCAAAAACTTTCTTCAACAGGGTGAAAAGAAAACCTACAGACTGGGAACAAGCATTTGGTAATACTATCTCAGACAAGAATCTTATAATGAAAGTTTACAGAATACTCCTGGGCCTCCACAAGAAAAAGACCGATAACCCAGTTACAAAATGGGGGAAAGTGTGGGTTGATTTTTGCTGTGTTTTAATTTTTTTTAAAAAAAATATATAGTTAGGGTTTTTTTATTCTCTTTCATAAAGAAAAAAAAAACCCTATAAATTAATCCCAAAGAAGTTCCTGCAGGAAAGGAAAAGCTGTACCTTTGAGGCTTATTTACTTAAAACATTTCCATTTCTACTAGAACAATTAACTGTCTTCCCCATTAACTTTGTAGGTATTTTCTTAAGGTAACAATAGTAAGAAGACTGACAGACTTGGTAAAAGAGTATGATCTTATCGTTCACCAGCTTGCCACCTATCCTGATGTTAACAACTCTATTAAGATGGAAGTAGGCATTGAAGATTGTCTACACATAGAATTTGAATATAATAAGTCAAAGTAAGTACTTTTGCCAACTTAGCTTTAAATAATGTGAGTAAATAAAGAGGTAAGCTTTTCAGATCCTTGTAAATTGGTCAAAGTAAGAATGTTCTGGTTTTCAACTTGGCTTTCAGATTCTGTTCCTCCTAAATCTCTTGTCTGGTTGCTTTTTGGGGATGACCTCCCAGGGAAGCCAGTACCCTTGTGTGGATAATACTTTATATAACTCCCTCAACATGTCTTTAGTCTGCCATCTCTTTAGACCTAAACAAAAATAAACTATACAAATGGCATTTTCAGTGAAAATGTCTAGGCTGTAGAAAGTCATAATAAAGTATTTTCGCCTTTACCATTTAATCACTGTCAAGATCATGTTGAGGAGGCCTAGAGGCACAATGGTACAAGCGCTTGGCTGCCAATAGAAAGCTTGGCAGATTGCATCCATTAGCCCCACAGTCTGCTCCCATAAAGATTTCAGCCTACAAAGGCCTATGAGACCATTCTCCTCTGTCTTATAGAGTCATCGCTAGTCAGAATCTACTTGATTGTGTACAGTCATGTCTTGAATATTTTTCCATTGGAGGAGATGGATGTATGTTTATTGTATTTTTATAGAAATGTACTGATTTTTTAAAAAAAAATTGCTTACTAGTTTAAACTTCATTATGGAGAATTTGAAACATGTACCAAAACACATGAACTTTAATATACTAATTAATATTAAAGCATATAAATATAATACACAGAACATTGTTATGAATTTCCATGTACTCTTTGCCTACCGTCAGTAAATATCAGCATGCGGTATGTTTTATCTGTGTTCATCCCCACACTCCCTGTAAATTATATTGAAACAAGTCACAGACATAAAATACCATTAAAATAGCACTTCATAATAACCACAATATGATTGTCTAAAAATTCAGTCCCTTAATATCTTCAGCTATCCAGTCAATGTTCACATTTTCCCAATTGTCTCATAAATGTCTTTTTTTTTTCTCCTCCACATGGTTTGCTCAAATCAGTATCCAGTGTCTACATTGCATTTGGTTGTTTGATCCCTACATATTTTTTAATTGATAGATTGTGACTTATTAAACTTTACACATGTGCCCTAATCAATCCTCTCTCCCGCATTTGTTTTCTTACATGACTTTACAGTAGGTAAAGCTCTACTATTCAAGAAGCATCATGATTTATTTAGTCCCTTTTGTTTGTCCAGGCTCTTAGCTAAACTGTTGTCACTTCAATTTGTATCAATGAAAATGTGATACATATTCCCTCAGAGTCTTAAACCATATTGCTGATAAAATTACCAAGTAGTTTAGCACCTAAAGCTTATAATTGGAAGCCTCCTTTCAGACTGACAAAATGTTACTCCTTAACTCTTCAAATATTATAGTTTGAGACCAGAAGAGATTAAGCTGTCAGGATTTTAGGGATCCCCAGGTTGATTACCACGTCATTTCAAGGCTCCTGGGAGAGGCTTTTGGTTATTAGATTAGGTTACAGCAGTAGCTTAATGTATGGAGGCAGCTCTTCTTAATCTTTCGTTGTGATTAGACGGTATTGGGCTCCAGCACTCTAGCACTTAGAATAATGATGGTTCTGAACTCTTGTGTAGAGCTTTTACTGTTTAAAAATATGTCCAAATGAATATAAAGAAATTAATTTATAGGACCAAATAAATATGTCAGGCATAAAAATCTTGATATTCTCCATACTATTTAAGTTCTCTGAAAACTAAGTTACTTTCTAAATAAGTATCAGTAAGCTTCTGTTAGTCTTATTGGTGAGCAAGTGAGCATTTCAGTCCATATTACATAGTCAATTATTGAGTATTTTTTGGCAATATGATGCTAAACATATTCAGTATCATTGGATCTAAACAGTATGGATAGTCAAATGACATTCTTAATCGTTATTACCCTAAAGATGTCTTAAAAAAGACTTCTTAAAAAAAAAAAAGACTTCTTAAGGGATATATTTTATTTTATTTATTTATTTTTTTTTTTGAAACTGGTATTTCGTAAGTGAGGTATATTCTTTTCTCTAAAGGTATCATTTAAAGGATGTGATTGTTGGAAAAATTTACTTCTTATTAGTAAGAATAAAAATCCAACATATGGAGTTACAACTGATCAAAAAAGAGATCACAGGAATTGGTAAGTTGAAAAGAGTATTCAAAAAGAGCACTTGAAATTGTCAGACTGTCATATAGTTGGAATCATGCAGTATATAGTTAGCCTTTTCTCTGAGCAATATGTGTTTAAGGTTCCCTCATGTCTCATCATGGCTTTGTTGCTTATTTATTTTTATCACTGAGGAGGATTCCATCATATAGATGTACCAGTTTGTTTATCCATTCATTTTTTCTTTCTTTAAAAGTTAGTTTATTTTAAAAAGCCATGATTGAAGTTTTCTTCATTGAAAATAATTTTGTTACTGCAGTTCTTAAATTCTTTGGCTACAATCTCCTTTTTTCAAACTAATGTTGTTTTTCTTTTCTTTTTTTTTTTTAAAATTTTTCCTTTAGTCTTATTGAGATGGCATTCACATAGCATAAAATGAAACTTCTTATAATGAAAAAATTTTCCATTCAAAAATTTGTATCAGGATTCTCCAGAGAAAGAGAACCAGTAGAACATACACACAAAATATATTTTTATTTATGTGTCTGTCTATGTGTATGAACATAAATACATATGACTTATTTCAAGAAATTGGCTTGCCCAGGTGTGCAAGCTGTGTAAATCTGAAATCCAGCAAAGATTGAGGCCAAATTCCTCTTTTTGCCACCTGCTAATATAAGATCAAGGAGCTGTGGTGGTGTAATCCATAGAGTGTTACACTGCTAACACAACAACCGCACCTCTCTGGCAATTGAAGTCTACCAGCAACTGCTGGAGAGGAACATAGGCGATCTCCTCTTGGGTGTTAATGCCTCGAAAACCTCAAAAAATGGGCAGCGATGAGTTGGTTCTGACTCAAGAGCAGTGAGTGAGTGATTAAAAGACTAAGTCATTTTAAGATTACAATAAAATTTCAGATTCCCATTTGTTTAAAAGGTGGTTGTGTTTATTTAATAAACTTCTCTTCAACTAGTTTCTTAGAGAGTGAATCCTCAGATTAAAAAAAAAATGTACACAATGCATAAGCCAGAATTGATTTTATGGCAACTAATAAAAGCACAGAGAGAGAGAGAGAGAGTGTGTGTGTACACATTTGATGTATTGTTGTGATAAAGTTAACTAACTCCAAGAGAAGAGAGTTTAGGCATTGCAGAAGAAACTAACATGCCAATAATTATTTCCGACGTGAATTATTAATTTCTGTTATCAGAAATGATAGAATAATTCAGTAAGGAAAGAATCAATCTCAACTTATATGGTATCTTTGGGAAGAATGGGAGCAAAACATTCAGTTGAAGGATGAATATGTTAAGTATAAACAAAGAAATAAAATGAATGAGTAACACTTAAACAAGATGATACATTAGTACTAAAGTAATTGAAAAATAGAGAGTGAGTTCAAGGCAGGAAATTCGGTTCTAGAAATATTTACATGAATGTCATTTATATTACTGCACTAGGACCCAGCACCACAACAGAAACAGAAACAATTGCCAAATACGAAATAATGGATGGTGCACCAGTAAAAGGTAACAGCAGTTTTCAGTTACTTCCTTTTTGTGGAGTGATGCAGAAACAGTTAAGGTGGTTTAATTTAAAACCATTTACTATGAAATATTTATAATTTCCCAAAATAATGCTAATGATGATGGTTTTTTGGTGGTTTTTTTTTTTGCAGCTTGATACTTCTTTATTCTGGTAATGGTGCTTTTTTGATGATGGTTTTTAATGTCATGTTTTTATAGATGCCAAGATGATGATAATAGTTTTTCTTAATCTGAAATACGGGTTACTTTTTTCCTTATTTTTAAATGATTTTTATTAATTTGATGTGTGTATGTATTGTCAAATTGGATCTGACTGGTATAGGAGGTGTTTGTCCCTCATCTGGTGAATTCAAACCGTGTATCTCAGGGATTGCAGTGCAGTTCTTGACACTAGGCCACCAGAGCTCGCCAAGAGTTACTTTTTCATTGTGTTTATATTTGGATGTTAGAAGATGTGTACATATTTAAGGAGGTTGTGTGGTACATTATGTGTGTGTAGCTTACTGAAAGGTCAGTGCTTCAAATCTACCACCTGCTCTAAAGAGAGAAGATGTGCCATCTCCTCCCATAGACTTACCACCTCAGAAATGCACAGAGGGTCCTATAACTGGAAACTGACTCATAGGAGTGAGCTTGGAGTTTTTTTGAGGGAGAGGAGGAGTTCATATATTTTCTCTAGAAAGTTCTGAGGTGGGTTTTTTTTTTAATTGGCTCTAGTGTCCTAGTGAGTCAGAGTTGTGCTGCCAGACCAAAGGTGGACAGTTTGAATCTGCTAGCTGCCCTGTGGGACAAAGATGGTCAGTCCCCTTGCAGGCAGTTTATAGCCTCTGAGAACCCTCTAGGGGATCAACTGTGAGTAAGTTCCAACACTACAGCAATGAAAGGGGTTTTTCTGTTTGATGCTGAGCACAAAATACAGCACTAATTTCTTTGGCATCCTTTTTAGTCTTGAGAACCCCCTCGGCAGTTTATCTTTTGTGTCTAAAGCATTGACACCAGTATTTATAATTTTTAAAATTAATATCCTGGATTTCAATCTATTTAAAATTATATCAAAAAGTAGATATTATTTATTGAGTGCCAATGGAACCCTGGCGGCACAACAATTAAGTGCTTGGTTGCTGTCTCAGAGGTTGACAGTTCAAACCTACAGTGGTTCTTCAGGAGAAATGACCTGGTGATTTGTACCTATAGCCTAGAAAACCCTGTGGGGCATTTCGCCTGTGTCACATGAGGTTGCCATGAATTGAAATTGACTGTGCAACACCAACAACAACTTCAGCCAAGGCTTCATACTCCAGTGCTTCAAAGCTTCCTACTACCTGAGTTAGGCAGCAGTGTCTTATTCTACAAATAAAATAGAGTACCAAAGAGATAATTTTTTTAAAAAAAATTATAAAGGTGATATAACTAATGATTGCAGAGTTGCAGTTTGAGCCTAGGCCTCTCTAAGCCATATATACTTAAGGCACTCTGTGGCCTAGAGATAAAAGAGGTTCCAGTGCAGTCCCAAAGGCATGCGGTTCAGATCTACCAGCTGCTCTTTGGGAAGAAGATAGGTAATCCCCTCCTGAGCAGTTTGAATCCACTAGCTGTTCATTGGGAGAAAGATGGGCAGTCTCCTTCCATGTGACTTACAGCCTCTGGAAACCTGCTAGAGGGTCAGCTATGCCTTGGTTCCTATTCAGTGGTAAATAACAGTAACAAAAAAAAAATCTATCCTATATGATGTTAACAGAAAAGCATCTTTGCTGCATTGTTTTGTTTTGGGTATTATGTGGCTGTATGCAAAGAAATGACATGAAAATTACTTTTCTTCCAGGTGAATCAATTCCAATAAGACTATTTTTAGCTGGATATGACCCAACTCCAACAATGAGAGATGTAAACAAAAAATTTTCAGTAAGGTACTTTTTGAATCTGGTCCTTGTTGATGAGGAAGACAGAAGGTACTTCAAGCAGCAGGTATGGTGCCTCCCAACCTGATATTTGGTGTGTGGAGTCTTATAAACATCTGGAGAACACCCAGAGGGAATGAGTTGCTAGTCCTAAGGCTTAAAACCCAGAGTCTCTGGGAACATTAAGGCTAAATTGGCATAACAGTTCATAAAGAGAGTGTTCTACATCCTGTTTACATTAGTATCAGTTGGAGTCTAAAAAGTTTGCCTGAAGCCCATCTGATGTGCAAATGTTGGTCTCTCCAAAGAAGGAAAAAAGCAAAAATGCCTAGAAAAAATTAACTGGCCACATGAACCTCACCCTCTACGAACTTGACCAAATTAATGGTGTCCAGCAACTACTGCTGACCAATGTAAAGGGGATCTTAGTAGAAGAGTCTCGACAGATTTGGGAGAAATGTGGAACAAAACACAAGCAGTCTTACTGATCTGATAGACTAGTAGACCCTTCAACACTGTGGCCTCCAGTCACCCTGGAACAGAACTCATCTACCTTTGTAGCTCAACTGTCAGCCACACAGTAGACAGATTTATACATTGCAAACTAACACAAGGGTACTCAATCCTTAGGACAGTCAACCATAAAAGATCAAAGGCAGCTCAAAGCTATAGAGGGATTTATGGAAATGAGAATCACAGGGAGGAAGTAGGAAGAATATAGTTACATTGTGGGTATTGTAATTAATGTCATAAAACAAAAGGTGTATGAACGGTTGAATGGAAAACGTGTTCTGCATGGTAAATTTTCACTCAAATAAAAATATTAACAAAGCCAAAATTTAGAAGTCTCAATCTATATTGTATGGAGTGATACGTAAATATGAGGGTATGATTAAGAAGCATGCAGGAATGACATCATGTGACAGGTCTCTCTAAGAGTTATCCAGTTGGACTGTCAAATGAGCTTTAACATGGTGGGAACTTTTCTTCTAAATGGTTTGTGGGTTTTGGGGTGGTATTTTTCTTTTAAAATAAAAACAATACTTGCTTTCAATTTTATAAAAACCTAAAAAGATCAGTAAAAGAATAAGAATGAAGTAAGTTTCCAGAAAGTCTCCACCACTCTGATTAGTTTTCCAAACAAGGTGCTTTTTGTTTTTCCATGAGGTGTTTTGATGGTATCTGTCCCTCTTGAGTACATATAGATTATCCTTGATTGCTTGATCACATGGTAGTACCATGGTTTACTTGATGATTTTTTAATATAGTTTTCCCTTATTAAACATTTTACTATAGATCTTCATGAGATTGCTCAATTCTAATACTTTCTGATCTAAAGACTTTTTCATATTTCTTTGTGCCCAATGCAAAATACACAAAACTTTTTTACAAAGATGGTTTGTCATCAAGGTTCTTACATTACAGATTGGAGAAGAGGAGTAGTTATGGAAGTTAATTAATAGGAAATGTAACCAATTAAGTTTGATAGTCACTTTAAAAAGAAAAAAACCTACTTGAGATCATAGCACCATGTAAATTTCCACTGATGGTGACTGTGCATGAAGTGCACTGGCCTTGAACCAGGACGTGGACCCCAGTCCAATGACAGGGGTGAGAACTCTGCTCCAGTCAGACATTCTGGGTTTTCTAAAACCTTTATTCAGTTTCATGGCTACACTTCCCATCCTCCACCAGCCAGTGGAGGTATTTTCCATAAACTTGTCCAACCTCTTTCCCTATATCATCTTCAAATTCCTATACCTCTCTCTGTTTAAATTTTAACCAGTCTATCCTAAGTTCTGATGTGTCAGATGTGATAATAGTTATGTTTGGTGGAGCTTCCCAATTAAAACAAGCTTGGAAGCAGGAGTAGCATCCTCTTTTGAAATGGCTTGCCTTCGAAAACTCTGTGAACAGTGCTCAGGTCTTTCGTTCATAGGGTCTATATGGGCTGTCGACGACTTGATGGCACTGAACAACAACAATACAACATCCTGAGTTCTCTAAAGAAATATGTGTTTCATAAAGTCAAGACTGGTTGTTTTAAATCAGTATATCAGAGTTTAAACACTTAGTCTAGCAGTTGTCAAAATCAGGAATAATGGAATTACCAAACTAGGGTGGACTCTCCTACTAAAAAGCAGCCAGTTAAAAACCTCTGTGGATCCCAGAGGTGCAGTCTGCAACCAGTCATGGCAAGATGCCATCCCTTGTACATGAGGGCCTACTCCAAGACTGCTCATGGTGTGTGTCAGCCTTGTCATTTCTTATCACATAAGAAGTGAACCACAGAGGAGGCGCCATCATGAGAGTTGACATCCACCACAACAAGGACAGAAAGGTCTGGTGCAAGGAGCCCAAGAGCCAGGACATCTACCTCCGGCTGTTGGTCAAGCTCTACAGGTTCCTGGCCAGACAGACCAACTCCACCTTCAACCAGGTTGTGCTAAAGAGGCTGTTCATGAGCGGCACCAACCGGCTGCCACTGTCCCTTTCTCAGATGATCCAAAAGATAAAGCTTCCTGGCTGAGAAAACAAGACAGTTATGGTGGTTGGGACCATAACAGATGACCTGTGTGTTCAGGAGGTGCCCAAGCTGACGATGTTTGCTCTGTGCGTGAGCAGCTGGGCCCAGAGCTACATCCTCAAGGCTGGAGGTAAGATCCTCACCTTCAACCAGCTGGCCCTGGACTCGCTTAATGGCTATGGCACCGTGCTGCTGTCAGGGCCATGCCAGGGTCGAGAGATGTACAGGCACTTGGGCAAGGCGCCGGACACCCCACACAGCCACACGAAACCCTACATCCACTTCAAGGCCGGAAGTTTGAGTGTGCCCAAGGCCGAAGAGCCAGCCAGGCTACAAGAACTAACTCCAGATCCTGCCCTGTTATTAAAATCATCTTGGGTGCTGAAAGAAAGAAAGAGAGGGAGGGAAGAGAGGGAAGAAAGAGAGGAAGGAAGGGAGGGAGGGAGGGGAAGAAATGAACCACAGGCAAGGGGAAGGAGGCCCATTTACTCAGAACTATGTTGGTATCTGAGAAAATATTTTGAGAAGCTGGACTTTATGAAGAAGTATGTGGCATCAGGATCAGAGGAAAATTCATCAACTTTCTTTATGCAGATGACACAACCTTGCTGGCTGAAAGTGAGAACTTGAAATGCTAATGAAGATCAAAGGCTACAACCTTCATTATGGATTACATTTCACCTTCAAGAAAGCAAAAGTTCTCTCCTGTGGGCCAATAGGCAACATCATAATAGAAAGATTGAAGTCAACAGTTTCATCTTGCTTGGATCCACAGTCAATATCCTTGGTACCAGCAGGCATGAAACAAAAAGTATGTGTTGCATTGTGAAAATCCATTGTTAAGAATTTCTCCAAGGACAACACCAAAAAGACCTCAACAAAATTATACCAATAAAACCTTGCCTCTCAATAATGACATGGAATGTAAATGGTTTAAATACACTACTGAAGAGAAAAAGAGTAGCAGATTGGCTAAAGATAGAAAATCCATCAATATGCTGTCTACAAGAGACACACTTGAAAAGTTAAGATAAAAGAAGACTAAAAATAAAAGGGGGGGGGGATATATACCAACCAAGTGGCAACTAGGAAAAAAGCAGGAGTAGCAATAGTAATCTCTGATAGAATAAATTTCAAAGCAAAAACCATTATAAAGGACAAGGAAGGTCACTACATAATGACTAAAGGGTCAGTAGAACAAAAGGACATAACGAAAATAAATATCTATGCACCAAATGATAGAGCTGCAAAATGTATAAAACAAACATTAACAAAACTGAAAAAGGAAATAGACAATACCACTATAATAGTTGGAGACTTAAATACTCCACTCTCAAGAAAAGATAGAACTACCAGAAAGAAACTCAACAAAGATGCTAAAGAATTAAACCACATGATAAAGGAGCTCTGATGGCCTAGTGGCAAGGCATGGTTTGAATCCACCAAATGCTTGACTGGAGAAGGAGGTGCACTCTCCTCCTGTAAAATAAAATTAAAATTAAACCACACAATGAACCATATCGGTCTCATAGATATTTATAGGCTACTGCACCCCCAAAAAGCACAGTATACCTTCTCAAATGTGCATGGAATGTTCTCCAGAATAGATCACACTTTAGGTCACACAGCAAGCATCAATAACTTAAAAAACATAGAAATAATACAAAGCATCTTCTCAGACCACATGCTATGAAATTAGAAGTCAAGCACAAGATGATAAAGGAAAAAAAAATCCCATACATTTAGAAGCTGAACAACAACTTGCTTGAACATGACTGGGTAGTAGAAGAAATAAAAAATGAAATAAAAAAGTTCCTTGAAACAAATAACAATGAAAACACAACTTACAAAAAAAAAAATATTCCTCTGGGAAACAGCCAAAGCAGTAATCAGAGGTCAATTTATATAGAAAAAAAAAAGAAAGAAGATGGAAAGAGTATACAGAGTCATTGTACCAAAAGGAATTGGCGGGCACAGAATTTCATAAAACTACATATGAGCAAGAACCTATGATGGTGAAGGAGGAAGTTCAAGCTGCTCTGAAAGAATTTGCAAAAAACAACTCCCCAGGAATTTATGGTATCTCAACTGATATATTTCAACAAACAGGTGCTGCCCTAGATGTGCTCACCAAGTTGTGCCAAGAAATCTGAAGGACAATCACCTGGCCAACTGACTGAAAGAGATCTTTATTTGTTCTCATTCCCAAGAAAGGTGATCTAACAGAGTGTGAAAATTATTAAACAATATCATTAATATCACATGAAAGCAAGATTCTGCTGAAGATTATCCAAAAATGACAGGAAGAGCACATCAACAGAGAACTGCCAGAAATGCAGGTTGGGTTTAGAAGGGGTCATGGTACTAGGGATATTATAAGCTAATGTTAGATGGATCTTGGCTGAAAGCAGGGAGTTACCAGAGGAATGTTGATCTGTGTTTCATTGACTATGCAATGGTGTTTTACTGTGTGGACCACAACAAACTGTGGCTAACTCTGAAAAGAATGGGAATCCCAGAACACTTAATTGTACTTATGT